AAGCAATAGCTCCAATGCAAAGGATTTAGCAGTAGAACTGTTAGAATCTATAGTGAATTATGCAAAGAAAGATGGCAAGACGAAACTCTGTCTATTTAGCATATGGATCATTAGAGCTTGAATGGAGAATACCTCAGTATCAAAGAGGAAATGGAAAATAACCTTTATATTATTTTTCTCATTGTTTTTTAACTTTACACTATTAGTTTTCTTTTCAGTTATTTTTAATTGATATACGCTTACACCCTAAAAAGAGTATTCATTTAAATTAGATTTTTTTGAGCACATCTCTCCTTCTTTTTTGCTGGTTCTCACACAGCATGGAGGTGTAGGGCTGTCAGGTCGTTAAACTGATAAGAGTAAATTATAGCCCAGTGCTTTCTGCCATTAGAGGCCAACTGAGTAAGAGGAGAAACAATCACCTTGCTGTGTATAGAAATTACAGAGCAATATGGAATACACGACCCTCTTGAGAAAACCCTTGGGGAAGTTTTTATTTTAACTGAAACAACTTTTTATGGATCAGAGAAATGATTTAAACTTGATTTTAGCTATATTGTTGAGATTAATACCTCAGCAATCTACCAAGAGGATTTGAACCTGCCTAGCGGGGAAACTTCAGTCACAGTGCCTCAAGTGAAGCCAAGTAGGCTACTGGACCCAGGAAACCTGTGCAGAAGGACCGGAAGGGGCAAGCGGTGAAAAGGAGGAGACTCGTAAGAGAAAAAAGTGATCTGATTCAGAGGTCTCCCCGGGTGCCCAAGCCAAAAAGATGTCCTTGCTGTCAATAGACATTCCAGAGGAACATGGAGTACCAGACCCCTTGGAAGGATTCCTGGGGGAAATTGTTTCAATTGAAACAATTATTAATGGATCAGCGGCTGAGTCACCTATGACCCCGCCAGAGAAGGAGGATGATTCTTCCAGCTCTATGGGACAGGCTGCATCTCTACCCGCTGAGCCACTCAGATCGCAGTGGATTTCCCAGAAAAGGATGACGACTACCTGATAACTGCATGGTCAGATATCAGACGCCAGGTAGCAGCAACCCTACCTACCCCCTGCCACTGGTCCACTTCACCATCTCCAACCCGGTGACTTCGTGCTGGTCAAGGACTTCCGGAGAAAGAGCTGGAAATCCAACCGTTGGCAAGGTCCCTACCAGGTGCTCCTCATCACCCAGACAGCGGTCAAGGTCACCGAGAGAGCCACGTGGGTCCACGCCAGCCACTGCAAGGTCGTAGTCACAGGCCAGGAGAGACGGTAGAAACAGACGACAACAAGTGATGTGTCCTAGTCACCAACGAAAGACGACAACAAGTACCACCAGCACCACACTGGCACCACATACACCTAATCTCACACTGCACACACAGGATGTCATGAGCGAGTGCCAGCTAAGCTGTTTCATATGCCTCTGGTTCCTCGTTTGTGCTATCATTGTGTGGGGACTCATTGACCTTGTCACAAAGTCATGAGCGATTATTGACGAGGTCTAAAAAATCCATAACAACTGTCGACCGAGTTATCTGGTTTTCGTTTGGAGATGTCGTCCAGCGAAAAACTGCAACCCCTCCATGGTCAGGGTCAAGGATATACATCAGATAGCAACATGGATTTAGGAGTCTACAACAGATGGGCCCCTCGCCCAAGGACATTCCTGTACGGTACTATGTTTTCGGTGTTTTTTCACACCAGGTTCATCAAAAGGTCGTCCCTGATTACACATACTGAAGAACTTTCATGATATTGATGCGTGGAGTTTTACGGATGTAATATGTATGTGTTTTTACGATTTTATCTGTTGCCAGTTTGATAAACTTTGCGTTTGAAAAGAGGGTGTTGAGATCTTCATATGAAGTGAATACTTAAAACGAAAGTTAATTGAGATCATGGTATGAAGTGAATACTTAAAAAACGAAAGTTAATTATAAATCATACATGATCAATCATATTCTTGTATAAACCTATAATGAGAATGCTTCTTGACGGTTTTTGAATATGTATCTATGCTTACAATTTTTTCTGTTGCTATTTGAGAACTTTGCGTTTTGAAAAGAGGGTGTTGAGAGTTTTTCATAATATGTTTAATACTTAAAAACGAAAGTTAGTTATAATCAAATATAATCAATTATATTCTTGTATAACCCACAATGAAAATGCTTCATATTTTAGGTTTTCTATAGTTACAGTATAAACAAAACAAAGTGGTTTGTTTAGGTTGAATTTTCTTCCTCTCCTCTGGCAGCAGACCACAGGAAGGGGGGGGCTTCACACTAAGGGGAGAAACATTAGAGGCCAAAGAGAGTTCATGTCCTTTTACCTCATATGAAAGGGTGTCTTATCCCATAACAGCTATGGAACATGTTGAGGCATGTTCAGCCTTGTACATTATAGGACATGCGCAGTTCTTCACAAATGGGTGAAGAGGAGGAGTTTGTTTTTTGGGTTTAGGATCCAGTTTTTTTAGCATAAAGAGACTGGTTTTTTGAGAGAGCGCGAGAGAGGGGGGGAGACCCCTGGTAGACTCTCTCCGGGTAGGCTGTGTGCTTCAGAGCTGGGTTAATAGCTCTCGGTAATGTCCTTCCAGACGGGGTAAATATCTCTCGAATTTATTGGTTGTTGGCTGAGTGGAATGATTTGATGAGAGATGTGTGTATGAACCTTTATAAATACCGCGACCTGTGGGGAAATCTTGTCCCCCGAATTTTGCGGACAGGTATGGGTTTTTGAGTGTTAATCCGCCATCTGTGTCGGAAAAAGTGTATGAACCGTATAAATACCGCGACCTGTGGGGAAATCTTGTCCCCCGAATTTTGCGGACAGGTATGGGTTTTTGAGTGTTAATCCGCCGTCTGTGTCGGAAAAAAACGGTATGAAACTGATGAGAATTGAGTTGGTGAAATGAAAAAGTTGAATGCGCTTTTTATTGTCACCGGTCTTTTTACGAGGAAATACCTCTAAATTCTATCGGGAGAATTTTAAAATGTCACAACTGAAATGGGGCAGTTGGAATTAAAACATTTTGGTAATAAATGTAAGACTGTGAATTAAAGTTTCATTTGAACATGATCACAGCACGGTTTGTTGTTAGTATGATTATAATGTTGTGAGAGAGAAGGTAAAAACCCTGTATTAGTTTGGACCTATTTTTCTTCAAATAAACTGAATCCCACCTGTTGGATTGGGATCCTTTAAAAGACACCTGTGCCCTCCTCTCCTGCGTCAAAGGTAAGATTGCACCCTGCCACACACACTTAGGTAGGAGCACACTCCATTTACTGATATCAAATCCTTCGGGATCGCTTAAACAGATTAAAAAGAGTTGTCTGAATTGAAACAGCAGTTAATTGAACCTGGTTCTTCGGGGGGGGGTTAGGAAGAGGTGAGATCTTGCTGACGTTGGTGGATCTGAGCCAAGCAGCAAACTTACATAGACTCAATAATCTTCGGAAAGGTCAATTAGGAGGTCAGAGTAATTTACCGGAATAAATTATCAGGACCTCTCAAAACTCTAAACACGCGTTAATAACGCGTTAACGCAAAGAAAAAAGTAACGCCACTAATTATTTTAACGCGATTAACGCATGTGTATTTTTATCCTCGGCCGCCCCGTAGTTTCAGAGCGCATCGAGTTTAAAATACCATCTACAAGCTGATGCTGACAGCCTGCAGCAGACCACACTTCCACACTCACCGGCAGGCACCGACTGGCTATTGGGAGGACCGGGAGGGTGTGTGTATGTGTGGCCCGAGCGAGCGAGAGAGAGACCTTACGTGCATTGTTGTTGTTAGCATCTGGTGCTAGCTAGCTGCGCTAACGGATATAAGGAGCGGTTTAAATGAAAACAGAGGAGCGACATTTTGCCACAACTGTGCCGAGCACTTGACTTTATGCAGGAAGCCAGACAGTGGGACATTGTACGAAAAGTCAGCACACTCAGCACGGATAGTGCGCGCAACATGATTGCAGCGTCCAGGCAGCTCCCGTTCGAGCATGCCTTGAGTTGCACATAGCTCCAACGATCCATCACACACACACACAACACACACACACACACACACACACACACACACACACACAACACACACACACACACACACCACACACACACCCACACACACACACACACACACACCACACACACACACACACACACACACACACACACACACACCACACACACACACACACACACACACACACACACACACACACACACACACACACACACACACACACACACACACACACACACACACACACACACACACACACACACACACACACACACACACACACCCAGTATTGTAGGAGAGAGGTTCCAGGTTTGAATTGAGGCGAATATTTGTAATGTTCAGAGGTTGTTGTGTTTAATATTCATGAGAATATTTGTCATTGTTCAAATGATAATAAACATTAGCATAAAGCATATTTGTCCACTCATATGTTGATAAGAGTATTAAAAACTTGAAAAATATTCCTCTAAGGTACATTTAGAACAGATAAAAAATGTGCGATTAATTTGCGATTAATCGCGATTAACTATTTTAATCGACTGACAGCCCTAATAATTTTACGTCATGCGATCGGCTCTCGCGATCTGCATTTTTAGAGAGCACCGATCGGCGGCCGATCGATCGGAGCATCCCTTTTATTTAGATAATATATAATAGTAACACAATTACCATTATTTTTGCTCATTGTACTGGTAGGACTGTTTTACTGCTTTTGCTCCTTCGAATGCTACGTTTACATTCCCGACAGTCATCTTTACTGTTACAACTATCACCATGACTGCGTAATCTAAAGTCAGGTGATCAACAAATGGATTGGCTTTAGATTAATGGATGATAAGGAATGAATTAGGACGTTTGCTGCTTCTCTTTGCTCAATACCCTAAACCAGGAATTAGTCATTAGAAGATCAATACATAATGTAAATGATTGTTTTCAGCAGAAAGTAGCACTACTCCTTGTAATAATGATCAGTGCGTTACTTGTTGGTTTCCCTTGTGCCCCAGGACACGTTGTTCATGTTAACCAGTGAGTAGATGGTCAGAAGGAGATATCCACTGGGGATGCAGATGAAATACATCAGACCGTAGATAATATTCCCTGAAAAAAGGAAAACAAATGTATAACATTACCGAACATCAGCTGTTAAACATACCTGAACAAATTAAACACAATACAACGCATATTTTAGTAATATAATATAATCATACCCCACTCCTCTGGGTGTAGTATAGCTGTCACTGCGTACATGAGTGTCATAGAAACCAAAAACAGACCAGTCGGGGTCAGGAAGGTGCCCTGAATCACCATGTCACCTACAAAGGGAATTTGATGTGTGTATTTGCATTTATAATAATAATAATAATAATAACTTAGATTTATATAGCGCCTTTCAGGGGACCCAAGGTTGCTTTACAGAAAAAACATTACAAGTTTAAAATATATTTTCAAAGGATAATTTAAAACAAAATGTTGCGCGCATTAAAATAAAATAAAATGTTTTTATTTTACTCACCGATTATAGAAAACAAGGATGCAGTCATGAGGAACGCATACAGCACACTCATGATGGCAGCGATGGTGATTTGGGTATTTGACTTGACTGTAAAGCAGATGATGACGTAGAACACTGGAGGAACGCTTGCGATGATGATGGAATTTGTACCGGCAAGTTGGAAGACAAATTGAAAAGCACCTAAGAGAGAAAGAGATACAGAGATCCAGGCTCTTTGAAGAAGTCATTAATACAGAAAGATGTATTAATGAAAGACCTTCAGGACAAAGTAGGTTTCCTAGACCTCACAGTGTATTATAAAGCCTGTTTTAATGAAGGCAAAGTCCTTGTGTGTTTTTATAAGAACTGAAGGCAGACTTCCAAGATGTTAGCCAACAATAAATGATAAGAATGATAAGGGAAATGGATGAAACAGTTAATCAAACACCCTGAAAACAAAAGGGCTTGAGTTATAAACCAGACCTACCTGCTATCATGAGAGTCACAGAGGCTGGACCAAGGATGGAGGAACCAACCGTGAACATCTGGTAGAAGATGTAAAGCCCGGAGATGGATGTGTTTCTTTTCGATGTCTCCTTACCGCTGCAATTTAAGTCACAACCACAGAAAAGTTAATATTATTGTAGTTTATATAGTGTCATAGTAAACAGCTGATTGAATATGTATAGTCCTGTAGATATCAATCTAAAACATCACATTGAACATTTTAATTCAGATGTTTTCTTAAATCAGTTCAGTGAGAAAGATGCCCCCTTAGTACTAACAATGTGCACTAACCTGTGCAGAAGGTCCAGTGTGTTGGCCAGTGTAGATGGTCCCCATCGTCTCCTCTGGTTATAAAACTCCTTGAACTCTTCTGGTGAGTTGGTGTAAGCATCTGATGCAGCATTGTATTCAACACGCCACCCTTGTTGCAGTAACAAAGTACACAGCCAACGATCCTCTCCTACAAACATAGCAACATGAGATACGTGAGAAATGGTACTGAAATGTTCAAGAATAAAGGTAAAGAGACATAAAAGGCACATTTAAAATAGTTAGTCCCAAAAACGGACCTTGGTCATATTGCACATATTCCGAAGCTCTCTTGGATGTTGTTGTGTATTTTTTCAATACATTGTCATCCATTATGGCCGATCCTCTGAACAGACTGAAACATCCTGGACTGCACAGCACGGAGCCGAACACGTGCTCTGCTGTCTTCTGCAGCCAGTGGCCCACTGCGTACTCAAACTTCTGGTACCACACCATGGGACCTGGGATGGCAAAGTGATAGAGATAGACATAGGACTTAGAGAAATGAAAGACAACACTTTCAAAACATTCCCAAATGCCTATTTCTTTAATGTTCTCTTTCATGTCATGTTGAGGGGTAAGGGGGCTGGAGTCCATCCCAGCATATGTTGGGTTTTTGATAGACATGAGCCTCACACTTAAACAGACATTTTTACCTCTCCTACGCATTCGAGAAACACCCAGAACCTTTGCTACGAACTTAAGCAGGACTTTTTAAACCTGTAACACCTATTGATTACTTGTCCAGATTCATATACACCTATTGTGTTGGGTGAATATTTAGCATATCTGCAGTTGGCTGAGTACAGTTATGGTTGTTTTTATTTGGCAATTTCGTCATTTTATTTTGCCTCCGAACAGCTTTGAGATGGTCTGCTCGTTGTAAGGGAACAAAGAAAACGTCAGTTTAACACAGCTTGGAGAGATAGGGGGCCTATTTTCACATCTAACTGTGAAGTAAGGGGTTATTTTGGAACAATTGTTGCAACAGAGTTTTTATTTTGTTGCCCATAAGTTTGAATATAGTTAGTTGTAAGATGATATAAGGCAAAGTGGCAAACACACCAGTAAGGTAGGGATAAAACAGATTTAACATAATGCAACCCATGACTTGATGTGAAGAGCCTTTAAGAGCTTGTTCAAGGTTTCTTTTGCAGTTTCAAATTCTGGGTAATAGATACTCCTCTATGCTTAATTGTCTAGAAAGGCTCCAGTAAAGGCTTTACATATCATGCACAGAGCAGGCAACTTTAAAGGTCACCTGTCATGCTATTTTTAGGCAATAGCATAGGTCTCAGATATATAAAAATATATAAAAAACATGTCTATGAAGTGTTTTGCTCAAAATACCAAACAGATCACCCATTCTAGCCATGCCTCATATCCCTCTATTTCACTTCCTGTTTCAAAAGTGCTGATTTGGGGTATAAAGCTTTTTTTTTTTAAAAAGGAAATTGATAGAAAAGGAGGGGGCTGAGCTCATATGGGACCCGGCAGCTACTGTCTAAACTAAATACTGCCGTGATGAAATGGCATATCATGGATTATCAAGGATTATTTCTGAAACAGTTTGGAGCTCAAAGGCTTTCTCTCTTGCCGGTTATTATACCACAAGGTGAGTTCCTTTTTATTTCCTGCTTCTTCACACACATGCTCTCTCCAGTACAGGTTAGCTCTGAGTGTTAGCGATGCTAATGTAAACACCGACCATATTACGTCCAAAACATTCGGGCATTGTTTCTGATAGCAACTTTCTGATAGTGCCGTGGGTCCATATTTCCGATATTACGTCATATCGGACGCAAATCTGGATCAGCTCCGTTGTAGCCTCGTTTTTAGAGATTTGGGTACGGAGGAAAAGAGAGAGGGTTTTATTTTCTGACACTGCGTGAGTTCCCAGACACACCGGCGGGGACACATATTTATGTATATAAAAGACATCAAAAAGTGCACTTTGCATGATAGGTCCCCTTTAAGTAAAATCAGTCTGAGTATTTAGGAACATTGAACTTTGTTTGATTGAACTTATTTACCTTCTGGTATAGAGACCACCAACCCACTGTATACAGAACTTACCCATTCCTGTAGGATGGATTCTTCCACATGCTGCACCTACATTGAGATACATCCTCATCCTGTAAGTGAAAATACGTTTTTTTTAGTTACTTTGTTTTAATTTAATGTTGCATATCCATTAATAACATGAAAAACAACTGCAGATTACTCTGTCACTGACCTGTCTACAAGCAGAATCACAGCTTTGGGTTGGAAGTCTGTGTCCCCGTCCAGAGCCAGGATGTAGGTGTTGTCATCTGAGATGAATTTCTCTTGAAGTCATTGTCATGCTGAGGCAGCAGAAAAATCTCTCCATTCATAGAGATCATACTGTCTCTGTGTGGGTTGTTCTGGCGCTGGACAAAACATGATATATTACATATTAGAATACTTTATACACATACACAAAGATAATAGCCTTTTTACACAAAGTTAGAAAAGTCTTACTGTGATCTTCTGAGGGTTCTTGACGATGTAGCCCTTCCAGCCGAGTAGATAGTACATATACATAATCTGAAAGTCACATACAGTGTGGATTGTGAAAGTCCCAAACACATTGGTGCAATTTAAAAAGTGTATATTGTCCAAGACAAACTTTAACTTGGATTACCTGGGGACCATCTTTTCTTGTTCCTGATTAGATCTTTGTCTTTTAGATGAATATAGAGCATGTTTCCTTCTGGCATAATAACATCAGCCTGCCACCGTAGGGGGTCTCAATGATCGACACATCATTGCTTCTTTGTTGGTAAACACCCTGAATGGATGGATGGATGGATTGTTGGTTATAAAGATAGATAGATAGGTGAACAGTGGATGGATGGATGGATAGATGGATGAATGGATGGATGGATACATGTAAAGATAGATGGATAGGTGAAAAGTTAGATGGATGGATAGATTGTTGGTTATAAAGATAGATATATAGGTGAACAGTTGGATGGATAGATAGCTAGATAGATAGATGGATGGATGGATGGATACATGTAAAGATAGATAGATAGGTGAAAAATTGGATGGATAGATAGATAGATAGATAGATGGATGGAGGATGGATGGATGGATGGATAGATAGATGGATGGATGGATGGATGGATGGATGGATAGATAGATGGATGGATGGATGGATGGATGGATACATGTAAAAATAGATAGATAGGTGAAAAGTTGGATGGATGGATAGATAGATGGTTGGATGGATGGATAGATGGATGGATGGATAGATAGATGGTTGGAGGGATGGATAGAGATGGATGATGTATAGATGGATGGATGGATGGTTTTATGGATACATGCCAAAGATAGACAGTGAATGGATAGGTAGTCTCACCTATACACCTCAATGACAACATGGATCAAGTCAGTGACATAAGAGTTAACCAGCCTCTTTTCGTCTCCTCTCATTCATGTAGGCATCGTCTACATAAATGTGACACTCAAGTCAAAACAATCGTTGTGTTCCTCATTTGGATCACCTCGATAGCGGTTCCAACCTGAAACCACAAAAAAACAACTGTAACAATACGAGTAAAAAGTTTACTCATCTAAGTACTTAAAGTATATTGAAGTTTACCATTTTAAAACATCATAAGTGTTTTTAAAGCCCTTGCATATTTTCTTTGATGCTGCTACACATAGGGGTCTGCAGTAACAGCGTCTCTTACCTGAACATGGAGGTGAGAATTTTCAGCATTTCATCATAGGTCTCGTGCCACATGGTGGCACAAAGATAGATCACGCATTTCTGCATGTCATCTTGACTGTAAAGGAGAACATAGGGAAAGGGAGAGGTTTTTCAGCAGAAGCTTTAAACAATTCACGATGTGACCATGAACGTCTCTCAGCAGCAGTCTAGGAAACAGTCTTTGATCTATTTTTTGCGCCTGGCGACTGTTAAGGACCCAAGGTGGCAGTTATTTCAGACAACATCCACATTTGCATGTACAGGTATTTTTATAATTCATGAAACTTTATATTTTGTTGTTGTTGATTCTAGATCATCAAATGTTTTCATCAAAACAATGTCTATGGGGAAACTGCAGAGGGAACTGTATTCTCAGATGCCTCTCACCTCTCTTGGCTCTTGGCCCGGGGCACCTTCATCTTGGTGTTGAGTAGCAGAGACAGGTCGATTGAAAGCAGATTCATAGAGGCGACGAACAAACAGCTGAGAGGTTCTCTCTATACGCTGGACCCTAAAACATGGTGAGAACATAGAGGCATATGTCTTTCTGCCTGATCTTAACATAAGAGGTCCCTGGGTGACATGACTAGTCAAATGTGCCATTGGTGTTTTGATTTTAAGTTTGACTCTATAGCTGTAGGCATTAGTTGAGCAGTTTGATTAAATAGATTTTTGAAACGTACTTATGATCTGTCCTTTTTAATTGGGTCTGTTCATCCAAATGACAAATCAAAGAAACTGGTATCTGCAGACAGATATTTGTAGTTTGTTTAGCCAGGTTTTGAGTCCACACCTTAATTTTGTTATGCTAATACAGTGGTGTGATTGTGGATTAGACTTGAGAAATTACGTTTTAAAAACTTTAACAGCAATAACTCTTTTCCAGTCACAGCGTCTCTAGACATTGCTGTGATTATAACATTTCTTTTTTATATTTCCAATCACAACTATGCTTTGGTTCATCAATATTTACAGGGGCATTGTTTCTGGGGAGAGATATTGCTGCTGACTATTTCAAATCACAAAATGTTCATGCTGTAAGCAACACAAAGAAAAGTTATATCTTACATTTTACAGGGTGCTGAATATCTCTTATTATATCATTTGGATGAACTGACCCTTTAAGGTGCTTATCGTTAATGGAGAACATGGAGGTGTGTGTGTGTGTGTGGGTGTGTGTGTGTGTGTGTGTGTGTGTGTGTGACTGTACCTTGATCTTCCATACATAGTAGGTGCATGTGACGAAGCCTGACCACATGCATACCCCCTCCAGTGCCAGCATTGAAAATGGCCATTGCAAGTAGTAGCTGTCAATCAAATAGTCCATAAACATGTTGGTAAACATTTACATTGACTGATTATATTTATACCTATACATCGATTGCTTTGCAAGGTCATTTTATCCTTACTATTTTAGAGCATTCATAAACCAAAGAGGCTGGATCATTTGTGATGAGCAAAGGTGCTAACACACAAAAAGGCATACACATTTTAAACCTGATACAAACACACACTTACCTGTTGAGTGAAGTTCGACAAATGCTCCTTGTGATTTCTAGTAAAACCACAGGGGTTGTGTTTTTATGGCTCAAGTAGACCAAGCTTTCACAAAATTCTGCAATAGAAACAAAGCGTTTTGTTTTGGTATATTTGTACTTATGTTACTCATTCTTATCACACAGGGCTTTCCTTCCTAAGTACAGAGACATGACTAACTTGTGGCCAAAGATCTTTTGAAATTCAGCCTTCATTTTGTGACATTTGGCCATACCACATCACGACTAAGGCAGGTGCAATGATTTTTCAGCTATCTGATGTACGGCTAAATTAAACTAACTTTGTTTCAATAATTATTCATATGTTTTAAATAATACGTTTACCTGTGATGCTCCCGTGCTTTGCCCCCGTTCAGTTGTTCGGCCTGAGTTAAGAAAAGTATCATTCCCAACAGAAGCACTGCGGGTCCCGTGCAACACACTGGCAGCGCAAAGCTCATCCTGACCGCATGGATCTTACAGGCCACCACACCGAACCAGTGGCAGGCCGCTGAGCAGAAGGCCTGAGAGAGCGGGCAAGAGGGACATTTATTTAGCCAACAACTAACTACACATTACTGTCAGCTGTACAATTATAATTTAGCAAGTTACTTATTGAGTTAAACCTAGTGTAATTATTAATAATCATGTTTTCTTGTAGTTGTTAAACGTTTTACACAGATTTTGAATATCTATAGAACAGTAATGAAATGTGTCTGATGAATACGTTTTAATTGGCTGCTTTAATCATGACAGATCGAGCTGTGAGCCATTCCAAACTAAAGCGTACCGATCATGCAATAAAACAACATAAAACAGGCTATTGCTTTGAGACACATTCAATTTGATACATCATGTTGCATGCTGGCAGTGGTCTGTATACATTTATCTCCTTTACTTCTATGAACATCTAAATCATGTGTTTTCCATTTGCTCAAAAGCACACTTTTGGCAGTGTAACTTTTCTTAAATGTTACTTGTGCGAGTTATTATAGATAATGCAGTGTAGCAGAGGAAGATACCCTTGACTCATGCAGTTTGTTTATAGTCCATGTATACCTTGTGCGTGTCTCTGTTTAATATGTATAGTCTCATTTCTACCTACCTGTAAGAATAACAACACTAGTCCTATTTGCAGTAATTCCAGTCCACATCCTGCAGATTAAAGTCCGACCAGGTGATGGATTTCTCAATTAGCACATGGTAGAACAGGTATACTCCTCCTGCAAACAGAACAGATGGTGTCACTGATGTAAAAAGACAATCTGATCTGAAGTTAAAATACAAACAGAAAAACCAATAAGATTGAAGTAAATATAGAATAATATGCTCTTCTATATAGAGCAGGGTGTCCGTCGGGGTCTTAAAAAGTAATTAAAAGTTGATAAATCAATTTAGCCAAAATTAAGGCTATTCAAAAGTATTACAAAGTATTTAACGGCATTTTCCAAGGTATTACATTTGTAGCTTGTTTTCAATAAGTATATAAATTGTCCAAAGAGGTTGTATTCTACAGTGTGCCTGAATGTAATCATTGCGTAGGTGTGTAGTGTGATGATTCTGTGTAGTTTATTTATGGCATCCCGTTGGGTTTGACGTCATCTGAACAGGACATCGCACGCTCACTGCTTGATTAGCGCGCAAGGTCCGTTTACGCCGGTTGTTAAACAACATCGTTATGGGGAAATGCAAGTTTGCGTCCAAATGGTTGGAAGATAAGGAGGAAGGACAATCAATACTGTATATAGTCAATGTGAGGTAAAGTGTGTCGCCAATGTAACCGGTTTTAAAACTCAAAGTGGTCTTAAAATGTATGGAAAGGGTCTTAAAAGTTATTACATTTGACTTCAGGATTCCTGCATATACCTAGAGGAATAAAAGCATTTCTTGAGCAAAATAAAAAGCATAGCTTATAAAATTGAAAACTACAACTGAAGCCTTCATCACAGCCGGAGAACATCCTCTGCAATCCTTCTTCATCTCTAACATCACAAGCCGGTTTGTTCACAACGTGAATGTTGGAAATATGATAACCACAAAGCCTGGCAATACACAGTGATGCTGGTTTTGATAATACTCTTGTAATATTATTTTGCATGCTTTTATTAGTCGTATATGTTGACACAGACATTGAAATGAGAAAATTACCTATCACTATTATCCTCAGAATACTACTGATGACAACACAAAGTCCCTGTATCCATCCATGTCCTTTCAAGAATTCCTGCAGGGGGAAAGAGGAGAAATATTTTCTGATCATGTCAAGTCAATGATATACACTTGTTTGTTTATACTCCATATGGCCCAAAACGGTTTAAAATCCAGCTAAATCTCTATCAGATCTAGTCCACATGTACACAGATATTTTTTTATACAAAATGGAAAGTTGCAACAACTAAAAAGGAGAACATTTTACCGGCATGCGATTAGTAGCTTGCAGTGGATTTCCCACCAGCAGAGGGAGATGAGGAGTGAAGAGAAAATCCCAATGGCAACGTACACAAAGCAGTCGGTGCCCTGTCGATCCACAAAGTGATGACACGCGAACATAGTAGTCGACCCCCAGGAGGCAGAGTAACCTGAGGGTTTTCACAGTTCGGTAGTTATTAAGTATCAGAAGTTTGTATAACTCTCATCAAACCAGTTTAGTGACATTTATAAATGACAGCATTTTGAAAGAAGAAAACATAATGTCGACAAGACTGTGTCTTCTACTAACATAATGTTGAAATGTTATTATTTAACAATAACCATATCTGGCAAGTTTCACATGTTCCCTTCATCATAGAGACAGATGTCGGCAAGTATTTCATTGTTTTATGCCACTCATCAACCCTAACCAACACCCTGTGACTCAGGTGGACCCCCTATGAGTGTACGGAGTTTCATAGTAGTACATTACTAGAGATAATAGTTTGAAAATAATGGATGAAGCATGCTGAAAGTTTTGCAGAAAGAAAGTAAAGTAAATGGTTGTACCTGTAACTGTGAGAATGAGCGAGCAGATTGGGAACAGGATTTTCCATTTGTCTCCCTGCAGTCCTGTATACTATCTGCAGAATGCAGACACAATTGCAAACTCCTCCGCTGATGAAGAGGTTAGTCAGCACGTCAAACTGAGGCATAACTACTAGCACCAGGAGGGAAGTACCAAGAGATACCAGACACTCAATGCCACAGATCTGAAAAAAAGACAAAAACACATCATACTTAAAGAAGTTATACGTATCAAATTGAAGCATCATCGCTAAGATTCCTGAAGGTATTCATATTGGCAGTTAGGAACTTGTTTCTTGCTTGTTGTATGTGCAGCCTTTTAGGTTTTGAAGTTATTTATAATCATGTTTAAGGTTTAGTATGGCTGCATTTTGTATTTAATCTGGACCATTGAAGTATTCCCTAAATATTCTGCCTCATAAAGATGAATGATCTGAGTAGTATAGCAATACATAATGAAAGACAAGTAAAATAAATGGGTCTGTAAAGTCCTGCCATGTAGTTTGTAAATAAGGAGTATGATATACATGTTTCATCATATTTGTTGCAAAGCATATCAGATACAGTATTATGAGAGTATGATTTAGAAAAAAACGTACAAATGCCATGGTCTTCATTTTTGGCTGGATGAAGCTCTTGAAGCTACACCTCCACAGTGACTTCAAAAACACCAGGAAGTTGGGGCAGATCAGGCAGAAAACCAACATCAGCATGTAGAACTGTTTCTCCTTGCGGGCTGCGCATGGAGGGTCGGAGCTGGACAGTGTGGACAACACCAAAGAGAGAGCCCTGATTCAAAGATGTGGAAGAAAAAACAGAGTTTGGGACAAATGAAACAGAATACCAAAATGAAGCGTAACATTTCTCAAATCAAATGTTATTATAAAACCCAAAAGTTACACTTTGGGTTCTTTACAGTGTATACAGATCAACAACACATCAAAACACATAAAAAACCCCACAAGATTACAGCATAGAACAATCCAAATGATAACAGTTCATAAGGCAGCTCTTAAATGTGTAAATGGTTTTCTGCGTCCCTGACAAAAACACAGAGCTTGTTCCACAGATAACTACTCATAAACTAGTTATTCAATTGTTTTTCTCACTCGTCTCTCCCCGAATTCAGATTTGCATGGACCCTGAAAGAGTGCACTTTGACTTGTCACTGCCATTGCTTTTGAGTGCAGTTACAGTAAAGTCCTTTGTGGTAGCGGTACTTCCTGTTAATATGAAGAAGACTGGTAACTTTAAGGACATCTCGTTGCTTTCTTCACATCATTTACCTTCACATCAATGAGGAAGTTCTTTGGGTTCTTCACTTTGATTATATTGATAAACAGAGGACAGTTATATTTAATGACTGAGCATAGTCCTGTGATTCATCATCAAGAAAAGAGAAGGCCGAAGGAGGAAGATGATGAATTGAAACGGGAATAGAGGCAGAACTGAGGGGGCAGACGATACAAACGCATGCACATACTGCAGTTACAGATGTGATAGAGAGTACATGAAGATGGACACCTGCAAAGAGAGAGAGACAGATACAGAAACAACAGATACTGAGAAAGACAAATATAGTTTGGTACAGAGAGGTCATTCACTCTAAGCCCTACCCTACCCTACCATAAATAGTACTAATGTTTTTCATGTCGGACACAGACAGATAAGACACACAAGGTTTTTAAAGATTACAATTCTGACGGAAAAAAGTTTGAAGTACAATCACTGGACCATGAACACATTTAGAATATACACAACTTTAGTCTCATGCTGTTTTGACTGAGTTATACAACATTACATAAACCGTTTGTATCCATTTACAGCCGTTTATAATCCCCAAGGGTCAGTTAAATATTTCCCAACTCTCAGATGTAGGCTACTGTAAGACAAGACTTGTATCATCATTTACATCAACAGCACACTATAAAGCCACAATACAAGAAGCCTTTTATCTGCATTAAACAGCTGCTAGTAAGACTTGTGTATATAATGGGTATTTAAATGAAGACATTTCATTCAATTGCTGTAGTTACAAAAGGAATCAAAAGCACCTACAGAAACTTCAACCTCATCAAAAAAGAAGTGTCTGAACCAATCAATTTGACTTTCACGCAAAATGTCATTTTAAGCAGAATAACTGCATCGTGTAATAGATTCAAACCACAGACATAGAAATCAAATATTAAAAAAGAACGCTTTTATTTTTAAAGGCTTTCTTGGGTAGACCAGAAAGAAAACATCACTTAAAAGAGATGAACGCGTACCTATACCTTTTTTCAGAGTCTCCTTGTGAAAAACGACACACTGGCTTTTATCAAAGAAGGTTGTGAAGCTAAAATGTGATCATTGTTATAAACGTAAGGCTTCACGTTTAGTGTCAGGAACTCTGTGATGTTCTGTTAGCCTCGACATCAGAGATGAAAATAGGAATTACATAAAAAGAGTCGTAGACGGACAGATAGGCGGACAGATAATCCTACCTTTGAGACAATGGCACTGGTCAAGACGGCCAGCCCCACAACCGCAGCCACCAGGTTCTGAGCCAGCCTGAAACATTTTCTCTTACTTTCCTTCTCCGCTCCTATTGGGTTCAGGTTGAACGGATCCCATGTTTCCCTGAGATACACACACGGACAGATATTCATTTTATGTATCATCAAAGTTGTCCACTGTATCAAGGTCAGACTGTAACTTAACTATCAGGGCTCGACATTAAGGACTGCCCGATGGCCCGGGGCCATCTAGTATTTAGCTCGGGCAATGAAGCCTCACCTGCTGGTTGCCCGATCGGGCAATCTATTATGCCAGTATCATGCAGCTCGCGGATCCAGTAATGAGTGACCCGACAGTAAAACTAAACATATCTATAACTAGTTTAGGTAGTTTGAGAGGTAATTAAAATAGCTACGTGTGATATTCTAGCCTGAAGTGTGTGTTTTGTCCGCTCACCGCTGCAGGTGATTATGCAGAGCTGCGTGTCGACTCGTCAGCAGCAGCTGATCTCTCTCCCGTCAGATTAGACTTTACTCGCGTTTATGTCCATATCGACCAGATCTAGCTGGTTCTAGCTAATGATATGACTACCTGCTTATTAAAAGACACCTAAACAATAAGTGTCGATATGCAACCGGGTGAGGCCACAAAGTATAGCGCAGCATTATGCATTTGTTTACACCGGAACCCCGAGGCATTACCAACAGATCAACGCACAATCAACCCATACAGGACATCTCTTTCTTTAGACATTAGAATTGACTATTCTTGTCTGTCACATACTCTTCTTGTCTGTCACATAAGTGGCGCAACTGAAGCGGTATTGCGCTAAAGGGAAATTATTTTGACCGAAGAGATTTAGATTTGCCGGCTAACGGGAAATCTGACGTCGCCATTTTGTGTGCTTCGCGGATGCGCTCGGCTCCTCTCGACTGCTGCTCGGTCAGCTTCCGGATGAGGAGGCAGGCATTCGACCAACTTACAGTAGATAACTTTACAAACATTTTTAACAGGGGCCATAATAGTGTAAATAATGTTTGTTTTGGCAGTTATAACTGAATGTAATGTTTTCTCCTTTTTACATCTGGGAAGGCATTTGCCTCCATCAGATGGAAAGTGTCTTGACCAACAACTTAAGTATTTCTTATAGCTATGCAGGGCATGCAAGCGAGCAAACACAAACAAACAAGTGAAATGAAGAATACAATTGAAATTGTACAATATAATATTGTGGTCGTTCATCTTATAATTCAGTCTAGAGAACCAGACAGCATCTACAGTAAGACCTGCAAAAATCTAAATGTTCTAGGGTGAGGCCCCCCAAACCCTTCGTGCGTAATTTCGTCCGCACATTTTTCAGGGCAATCTCTATTGGGCTCAGGGCCATCTGTAAATTAGCTTAGATGGCCCACAGGGCCATCTCCCAAAATCCTTAATGTCATGCACTGACTATAGATTTGAGTTTTATGTATTCTTACATCACGTTATTTGAGTATATAACATTACAGTAGTTGGTAGTGTTAGGGTAACCATAATGTACCTTGTAGAAATGAAGCTTAGCGCAAGTTCAACCAGGAAGACCGTCTTTACTCATTCATGTATTTCTATCTCCATGTTTCTACTCTCTCTCCTCTCAATAAGTGACCGGGGGCGTCACTCTTCAGCTTAGCCAATCACTTCGCTCTATTCCCAAGAGCCTATCATAGCGTGCCGTCAAACCCTTTAAACTCTGCTCTTTCCCCTCCGACAGCTGTCATTTCAGGTGACTCAACGCAACCCTCCTCCACCCCTTTTCACCTCCCGTCCCTCCGAATCTAGGGTCAAGCTAAACCACTCCTCCTCAGACCGACCTAACTATCCATTCACCACCACCAGTGTCTAGACCCCGGGGGGTTTTCATCGGATCGGTTCTACCCTCCCGAATGATACTTCCTGCACAACGGGGCCTAATCGCCAAAACTACTGTCACATTCATTTGTGTATCTGCGCATTAAATATGTATCATCACATCAAAACCGTCTCTCCTGATTGAAGTTTAGTTAATCAAAACTGTGAAACTGAAATTATCTTAAAATGGGAGCTTGTAGGTTCCCCAGAACAAATGTGTTTTACAGTTATCAGGTGCAACTGAATGCCAGCCTGGCTTCAGTCAGTGCAATATATAAGTTACATTTGATTTTAAACATTAAAACAATCTGACACTATACTGTCCAAAAGGGCTGGTCATCATATAACCAGCCCTTTTGGTTGGGGCGGTGGTGGCGAAGTCGATAGGGACTTGGCTTGGCAACTGGAAGGTCACCAGTTCAAGTCCTGGCAAGACCAAGTGCTACCGAGGTGTCCCTGAGCAAGGCACCATTCCCCACACTGCTCCCTGGGTGCCGTTAAAAATGGCAGCACACTGCTCCTAACACTAGGATGGGTCAAATGCAGAGAAACAATTTCACCACGAGGGATTAATAAAAGTCCATCTTAATCTCTTAACCAGAGTATTTCCTTATCCCGGTTTTACAGAATCACTCTCCTCCATTTCTACCCAAAACAGATGAATTTGTTTAGCAGCTAGATCACAACATGGCAAGCTCTTGGGAGAAAAGCCATTCTCAGTAAATACCATATTGTGGAATCTCTGCCAGGAAACACATTCCCACTGTTGCACGCTATTTAAGTGCAACATCGAGTTCAACCCATTTCCCAACTTGGGATAAATAAAGTAATTATCTTTTTCTTACAAAACAAGATTGAGTTTATATCTATATGATATTCAGAGAAAACCTAGTGCTGTCTAATTGTAGCCGACTGTGCAATTGAGTGACCTAAATGTAGAGGTCATAGGTCATAAGATGTGGTTATAAGGAAATGTTTGATAATAAACAGGAGAACCTTCTGACCTGTCACAAGGAAGCTAATGGGACCAAATAAAGATGTTTAGTATCGTATAATAATGATAATAATGATTGGATGATGGGAGTCATGATCAGGGCGGGGTTTTGGTTGCCTCTTCATAAGGTGCAATAGATAATTATAATTCCTTTTATTAGTCTACCAATCCATCACAGACAGCACTCTCAGAGGGTCAGGGTACAGAATCATTTCATACAAATAGAGTTGACATTTTAGTTTATATCTCTGTGCCTCCCCACCAATTTGCAGGGTGTGGTTTGTCTTTCCTGGTTTGATAACGCTTTGCAATCTTTGACTTTGCCATGGCAACTATCAAAAATACCAGCTGAACTGGGTGCACACTGCAGTATGTTTGAGCCACGCTGGCAGAAGATGTGTGAAGAAGATGAAGGTGCGTGCGTGCACAAAGTGACGCACTCTTTACCTTAATGATGCATAATAAGCTGACATCACACGAATAGCCATGAAAAGCTGCTGCTTTAAGAAGAGCAAATACACGTTCTTAAAGAACTTCAGCTCTCTGAAAAACACCATTTATTGTTTTTGAGGTTCTGGGGAAAGCCAATCTTTAATTTGTATTAATTAGTTCCAATTATAGTATGTTATAATACCATTTATACAAGTCCATTTAACAGAAAGGCATGTTGCCAAAGAGATTTTGGAATCAACATTAAGTTTCTCATGCTGCAAAAACCTGCTGGCATCATTCTACTAAGGGTCATTTTTTGTATTTCCTCTTGTTAGTTATTTATCTTCCCAGCTACAGTACGTAAGCTTTGTTATAGTGGTCACCTGCCCCGAAGCTTGGCAGTAAACATGAAGACTAGCTGAGACCTACAAAGACCTACCACTTCACACACATTCTTTAGTATTTCACAGTCAACGCTGAACGGCAATTGTTTTGTGTTCTTGTACCAAAGCAAATATTGACGCCAATGCAGTGACATTCTTCTTCTTCTTCTTCTACTTCTCACAATCTTTATATATATAAGCGCACAAGTTATGTAAGGCAGTAAAGGAAAAGTATGGTAAATATAGACCATTTTGCCTAGTTTATTCACAAAACTCAAGGCCCAAAATCCAATTTCGGCCCTATTGCACATTCTTATATTAAGTATCTCAATCATTTTAAGACCACCTTGCTGTAGCTGCAAAGTAATTGATTACTTTGCATCAAATTACAGATGTCAGGAGTCTGTGTGGCTGAATAGCATAACAAAATGTATGCATCATATTTCAGCATGTTGGATGGCCGATAGTTTACTTGTGATTTTACAGATTTTATGTGCAGACGATTGCATGCCAGAAGGCTAGTTGTTTTGAACATAAAAACATTGTATTTTGTCTTTTATTTCAATAGCCCACACAACTATTGACACGTCATGTCCAGTCCTGTCAGACAGATTGTGAGTGTGTTAGCATGCTCAATGGTCAAAAGGGTTTTTATTTTGCTTCACTAAATCATCCCTGTCCAACCACAAAACTCACTATAACTTTGAACATGCACAAATACACACACACTACCTCCCATCAAAGACTGCAGCCAAAAATATCATATGTTATTTATTTGTATATTTATTAAGTATCAAACAGATTTTTGTAGTAACTATTTATTTTAAACATTGTAGCTTTATTAAATAATCTTTAAAAAAGTGCATTTAAGTGATGACCCTGATTATTGCTACTATCTCTGCTTTATCACTGCTTTTGGATGTGTTCTTATTTATGTACTGCAGTGAGAGATGCCATCTGAATTTTGTTACACTGATGTGTGATGACAATAAAGATATTCTATTCTATTCTATGATGGCAGAAAGCAGAAGGCTAAAATGGACGTGCAACAATTAAATCAAAGATATTCTATTCCATTGATTAACAACAGGTCAATAAACTATGGGTTTGACCCTTGATGCAATCTCATTTCCGAGTATTGCCCCTACACAGTTGGACACACCTTGTTTAGATACAAATTACAGTGTTAGCTGCTGACGGGGCTGAAATGTGTCCAAGGGCCAGTGTGTTGACTCAGAGTTTCTAAGGGAGGAATATAACTATTGACCCATGAAGCAAATGACCTCCTGCTGTGCTCTGTGCTGAGTCATGGTGGCGTCAGTCTTACACTGAATGGACTCCTGTATTATACCGTCACATTCCTTCATGTTTACAGAATAACTAACTGATCAGATTTCTTTCTCTACCATACAGCGGGAAATAAATCATCTTCTAGTATTCTCAGAGTTTACATTACTATTCAACACATATTATTTGCTTTTTAAAGTTGAGGGTCTTCAAAATCATTATTAGTTGATGAAAATCTGAGTTGTTTTCCTATGAAAGTTTTACCTAATCATATGTAGGAGCAAGCAGAGTATAATTATATTTAAAAAAAATCTTAACCCAGAAGCTACTCCATTGTTTTAACCTGCGAGAGATACCAACATGCAGGATGTGATTAAAACTGTGGTGCGTATTTAACATTTGAAATGGAGCAGCACTCCCCGAGCAGCAGTCAGTATCTGCGGGGATGATATTAGCCAAAGCAATAAAGAGAGCACAGCATTGCACAAGGGAAATTAACTGCTTCCTTTTACTGTAAATTATACCAACTAGAAACCTGGTAATACAATACTTCCTGAGATGTTACTCTGCACACAATTTAATGATAATATGTATTGCCAATATCTATCTCGCTAACAATTAACCTCCTAACAATGATGAAAGTGGCGGGGTGCCTGCAGACAGGATGTGAAGAAGCTGCCTGCTTTAAAGCTGATCGTTCATATATTTCTTTCTAAATCTATCTCACTAATACAGTCAATAACACAACTTTAAAGCTTTAGAAAGAAGGACATGATAAATGCATTTTTAAAAATGGATTATAGTTAAGCACATTAAAGCTAAATTGTATATTTAACCTCTTTTTTTATAACTGTTGTACTTTTCTATGTTTGACCATCTGGACATAACGTGGATAACTTCTACCTAAAAACTAGGGATATAAATGAATCCAAATGTAATGCTATACATTATAAATGAATGATGCCTCCTTAACATCGTTTGTTATGGTTTTCTTTATGGATTTGCACAGTAACATTTCTAAAAATAACGTTTTCACTTATCCTAAATAGCATTCTATCAGTTTTCACTGGGTTAGTTGAGCAGCATACAGCTCTTATGGTGTGGTATTTTAACTGTGATGTAATAATCAGAGCAGCAATTCATTTAGTAGTTGATGGAAAATATACTTGATAGTTGATCTATTTTGATTATTCAACTATTTTGGATATCAATGATCGATTGTTTAAGTAGTTATTTCAGAAATACCTCAGTAACATTCTTTATAGTTAATAATCTATAACAATGTGAAGCCTCTGTGTCGGCCCTGCTTCTTTAAAGTCTTAATCCGGAAACAAATTGGGACAACACATTTGCATTCCTATCATGCGTCACATCACAGAACCAATTTAGTTTGAACCAAAAAGCCTCACAAACACAACATGGGTTGAACAAATACAAATAGAAGTTTGAGTTTTCCAGTTGTATAATTGTAATCAGACAGGCATATTAAGAACAGTGGTAGCTGGGCCTGTCATCCACATACATACATTCATATGATTCCCCCATTTCAACTTCAGTCACCACATTTCATAAAGCATAAATAACACATGATGAACTTTAAATAAAAAAGCAGCATGTACTGAACGTTTTTACCTGTGTCTTCCCTCTCTTTTCTTGCCTCTGAATTTCAGTTCCTCCATCTTGCTTGTCTACTCCGCTCCTTATGGTAGAGTCTGTGTGTCAAAGAGGGAAGATATTCAGAGTTTTTACGATGGATACAAAGTGTATTAGGGCTGTCAAACGATTACATATTTTAATCAGATTAATCACATCTTAAACATTTATTAATCATGATTAATCACCATTCGAACTATGTCCAAAATATGCCATTTATTTATGTATATTGTTGTGGGAATGGAAAGATAAATGAAAGAAGGCGGATATATCCATTTCACATACAGTATGTAGGCCTATGTATGTTTATTATAACATTGTTCTGTGTGTCAAAATGAAAGACAGCCCACACACCTATCAATCATCACACCGTGGGGTCTTATTTCATTAATGTTGTATCGATGTATATAGAGATGTACAGCAAAAGTATTCTCCGTCGGGACTTCCTGCAACAACACCACCGCCCGTTATCTTGATTCTGATTGGCCAGAAGACATTATCAAATATGTTCTATTGAGAAGACGATCACTACGTGACAAAAGTTTTCAAAACCGTTTCTAGTCTTCGGTATTTCCAGACTGATAGTAGGGCCTACTGAAATCAATCTTACTAACTGCTGTCTGTGCAATTTACTCTGCGCGAGTTGGCGGACTTTATTTTTTGCTTACTTTAACATCATTTTTCATGGTGGGGCTGGGTCATTTTTTTAATGTGGTGCCTTTGGTGTCCCCAGTACAAAATATGTTGTTTTTTGTCTAAATCTGGACAAATACTAATTACATTTTGTTTTTAATGTGTGTTAAATTGTTAATTTATTATTAATACAATGATATGCACATCTAAGTTTTTTTTTTCATTTTAAAAGCATTGGTTAAAGGGATATCGAGGAGTTTTTCCATGTCCCCACTGCTGGTCATTCAACTTAGATCTAAAATATAGCTATTAAAAACAAAATTAATTTATAAATATTTATTATTATTTTATTTAACTTGTCAAAATCTATCTAATCAAATAATGTTTTTATTCAAATTGTAAAAAAAATATTAAAAAATAAGGTTTAATGTTTGTCCCCGAGGGTCGCTGTCCACCCTGTTGAGCTGTGTATCTGTCCCTTTAAGAAAAATACATATTTCTCAGTGACATCACACCTATGAAATTAAATGACACCAGAGGCGGGAAATTCAACTGAGGTAAGCTGTGTGGGTTTCTACTGCTCTTACAACTGATTTGGATGTTTCTGTCAATTTTGTTTGATGTGTTTGAACATAACATGTCCAACCTGTTAGGCCTAAGTATGAAGGATATTAATCAATTCTATTATTTTAAAAGTTCCTTTAAAAAGTGATTGATTCCTCATAAAGTATCCAAGGTCATGCTAGCAAATATGCTAACACAGGCAGGGTAAAGGCTAACTTTTGCTCAAAAGGTCCACCCTGTTAGTGTCCACCCTGTTAGGCTTATTCAACTAACAGGGTGGACAACATCCTAACAGGGTGGACATGTAAGTATTGTTTACTTATTACAACATTTGTTAATATTATATTAATATTATATTATTTATTGTTATATTATTATATTACTATTATAACATTATAATAATGTTTTTATAATATAATAAATGATCACCACCATTAGATCTATAGGCACAACACAAACTGCTGCAAAAAATCCTAGGGAAACACTGATGGGTATATTATCTAGTATATTATGTACACAATGATTATAGGTATAGTACTTAAAGTAATGGCATGCATTTGTATAGGAATGGCAGTCATTTGCATTCAGGGCTCTTGGATTCTCCAAGAAGAGGGGGATGTTGGACAGGGATGCAGACCTAATACTTTTCAGAGGAAGAAGAGTTCAAGCAGTCTAGAAAGTAAAGCCAGTATCCATACCTTCTTTCTTCGTGATGACGTGAGTCGTATGACAACTGGGCGCAAGCAGACCATCACAGTGAGGAAGAAGAAGATGCAGAAGCGACTGCTTTCTGACACACTCAAGAACCTTCACAGGAAATTTGGATCCGAAAACTCAGACAACGTGTCATACTGTCTTTTTTGTGCATGTCGGCTATTTTGGGTCGTGGCCCCTACTGATGCTGATCGGGCCACGTGCCAGTGTAAAACCCATGAAAACCTCCAGTTCATGGCTGACACCCTCTACAGCCATGGGATTGTCGTCTCCAAAATATTGAGGAGATGGTTGACCGCACTGTCTGTGCCACAGAAATGAAAGCTTGCGCCTATGGTGATTGTGTAGAGTGCCGCCTCACCACTCACCCAACCCTGAAATCAGCCACAGAGGAAATTGTACAAGTTGTACAATGGTCTACTGAAAGGACAGGTGAGGAAGAGAGGAAGACCATTACGCTTAAAAACGAGGTCCAGAGCACTGAATCAGACCTGGTCAGCAAATTTCAAGAGAATCTATTCAAATTCCGTAAGCACCTTTTTAACATCAGGTGGCAATACAGTGCTTACAGACAGCTACGGGAAAGCCTCCAAGCCAACGAGTGCTTAATCCACATCGATTTCAGTGAAAATTACTCTTGCAAATATCACAAAGAGATCCAGTCTGTGCATTTTGGAGGGTCCCATCAACAGGCAACGCTGCACACTGGTGTACTGTACACCACTGAACAGACACCACTGTCATTCTGTTCAATCTCATCCTCACGACGACATGACCCACCAGCGATCTGGGCCCACCTGGAGCCTGTCCTGGAGATGGTGAAGACCAAGTGTCCAAAGGTGGAAAGGCTTCACTTCTACAGTGATGGCCCGGCAACCCAGTACAAGCAAAAGGGAAACTTTTACTTTCTCTCCACTGAGCCATTCAGGCTTGGTTTCAAAGAACTGACCTGGAATTTCTTTGAGGCCAGCCATGGCAAAGGAGCTCCAGATGGCATCGGAGGGACATTGAAGCGGTCAGCGGACCGAATTGTGCGCTTGGGGGAAGATGTTCCAGATGCCATCACTCTTTTCAAAAAACTCAAGAGACTGGAATCAACAGTGGAGCTCTTCTTTGTCAGTGAAGAGGAAGTTGAAGCAAAAACAGAGGTAAAGATGCCCCCCCCCTGCAAAAACATTCACAGTAGTCAAGTATTTTGAGGCCTCTATACGTTGATAGTTATTGTTATTGGCCAAATATTTTGAATATTATATCTCATACTACTGTATATCCTCTCTTTTCACCTCAGGTCCCTGCTCTGACACCTATTAAGGGCACAATGAGGATGCACCAGGTGATCAGCGTCTTACCTGGGCATATCAAGTACAGGGACATCAGTTGTTTCTGTCAGAGGCAGGATGGTCCACTGGATTGTGCCTGCTTCGACCTGAAAGTAGCTACTGTGAATGGAGTTCCTGTGACCCCCCCAAATCAGAATGAAGAGACCCCATGGCGACCAGCGGCAGTTGACAGCACACACATTGGAGGGTGCGTCATTAAGTATGACGATGATGTGTACCCTGGCATCATCATGGACGTGGAGGGCGATAGCATTCAAGTGAAGTGCATGCATAGAAATGGAGTAAACAAATACTTCTGGCCAAGACCACGTGAAGATGTCAGCTGGTATGCAGAGGAACAACTTATCTGTCTTATACCAGAGCCAAAGGCACTCAACAAGCGCTCAGTCCAACTTGAGAAGCTTACATGGAAGTACCTAGAAAATAACTTTATGTAAACTAAAAATGTACTCGAAGTTATGCACGATGATCAGAGCTCTTGGTTAAGGTGTTCAGGCTACCAAACCCAGTGGTGTTCCACAAGCCACTGGTGGTGGCAAAAAACGAGCATGATTATAGTTGGCCTCAGCAAAGTGCCTCATAAAGCCTTTGCCTACCTGTTTGAGCCCTCCAAGTTTTGGTGTTGGCCTTTCTTTTTACGTGATTTTTTTTATTAGAAATTCTGCTGAATAAATTTATGAAGCAAATTACTGTCTTCTTCATTAGCTGCCATTTTCCTCAGTCTCCAACGTAGGGCAATAGCCTACTGTACGTGCCCCACAGCAGGAAAATATTATGACATCACACAGACTTGCTCACAGGTCCTAGGGGCGTACCAAAGACCCCAAATCAAATTCTGATATATTTTTTAATTCTGTTAATATTTGTTGCTACTCTAAAGTACACATTCTATAAGAAAACCCTGCAACCACAGACACAGCAGACCTTTGGGACGGAGATAGCCTTATGAAGAAGCAAAGGCAGATACACAAAGTTGCAGCTCCAGCTCCAAATAGTTGGTATATCAAACCAAAACGATTTGATATATTCAAACAATTTTAATAATTTAATATAAAAGATTGTTTTAACAATAGAATTAATACTGTAATATTTTAACCAAAAATTACACTTTAAAATGATAGGGCCTGGAGAGAAGGTCCTGAAGGCCCTGACGGACTTCCACTGGTGTCCACCCTGTTAGACGTATGTCCACCCTGTTATGTTGGTATTTTTCTAGCATAGTTTAATGAAAATATCAAATATCAAGTGTATATTTGTACTTTTATAAAGAAATGAGAGAGGTTGAATATATTCTAGAAACTTTTAGTAATTCTTATTGTATTTAAGTTTTCTCATGAAAAACAGTGGAAAAATATGCCACGTTGTCATAATCTACACTTGTTTTTCTCAATATATACTACTTAAAACTAATTAGGTATGAAATATATATCTAATTAGAGTTAGGGACATACAACTCTTGTTAAAAAGTCACTTTAATTGTAAGAATGCACTGAAAACTCATTTAAGTAGTTATGTGTATGTCCTTAACAGGGTGGACATATCCCGGGTGTCACGTGTTGTTAATATATCTATATATAAAAGATTTAGGTGCCTGAGCTTGACCAAAATGTTTTTTAGCAATTAGATATGTCCTTTATAGAATAGAACATTAAAAAGTAGGTAAATCAACTATTTATTTCACCCAACTTGTGAAGTCCAAATGGCACCCTATAAAAAAAATGACCCGGCTAAGCCATTTCTTGGTATGGCTGTAGCCTACCCCAGCCATACCCTGGCGCTGGGATGTATGGTGCGTTGTATGTGGCGGGCCATTCTGCGCATGCGTTAAATGCGTTAAATATTTTAACGCAATTAATTCAAAAAATTAATTACCGCCGTTAACGCGATAATTTTGACAGAATTAATTTTAAACACATGATCAAGATAGAATGTATTTCAATTATGATCTCATTTAATCATGTTTAACTATAAGAAAAGCAAAATCAAATTACCTTGATATTTTTAATCCGGAAGTCTTTGGCAATCCACCCTGAGCTCTTCTCTTCTTCACAGACCCCTACAATCAGTTATCTCCCAACTCGACAAAGAATCCTCCAAACTCAGATACAAATTGTTATCGACCGCAGTAAAGAAATGTGTCTTTAGGTCTAATTAACTTATCTAAAATCCAACTTGTACGTTTTTAAATCATGTCATTTAAAAAAAGTTTGCGGAGTCAATTTGCGACCGACTGTTCCAAAGTCTCAGTGAATCTGTCAGTCAGTTTTTCCTTTGTTCATATTTCTGTCTGCTGCGTTATCACTAACTTATGAAAGAGACACCCATATAGACAGTAAGATCCAGCCCCCTGTGTTGAGTGTGTGTGTGTGGTGTGTGTGTGCGTTGTGTATGTATATGTGTATGTGTTCTGATGAGCATAGTTTATGAAAGCTTTGCAAAACAGAAAGTAGGTATGTGGGTTTGTCTGATATTGGAAGGAAACCATCGCCACAAGATGCCGTACACACCCGTTATGAGTAATGCTCCTGATGTCTGTTGTGTGCATGTATAGTGTGTAAGTTATATCAGTTTAATGAGTGGCAATAAAAAGGTACAAGGTGCATTGGAACTGAGACACACACACACACACACACACACACACACACACTCACATTTACACGGACTCCAGAATATGATTTCCAGTAACACCACACACACACACACACCACACACACACACACACACACACACATCACACACACACACACAACACCCCACACACACACAACACACACACCCACCACACACACACACACACACACAACACACTACACACACACACACACACAACACACACACAACACACAAACACACACACACCCACACACACACACCACACAACACACACATTCACACACACATCACACACACACACACTACACACACACACCACCACAATCTTAAATAAATGCTTTATTCATCAGTTATGGTTTTGATATATATACCATCCCTATAGAGAACTTCAAGGATGTCCTGTCATTGGGTTTGATGATTGAGCTCTGGTGTAACATGATGTTACATGTACTGGTGTGACATTTAAATGTTTGGTGTAAGGCTCGCCGAGCAATTATCTTTTCTTTATCTCACTCTGGTTTGTAAAGCTGATATTCCTCTAACCAGCACCATGGAAAACCATGACTCTGTTCTTTGCAGTTATTGTTGTTTGATCTAACCTACCTAATAACTGTGTCACCCTTAGTGGAAACAGGCTTAATTGCCATAGCATTTAACATTTATATAATTTTTTGTAAACATGGTCAAGTTTTATACCATTCTAATATGTAATACATAAATTGTCTGTATGTCAAAAACATAAAATGTTTTAAGCACCTAACACAAAGCTTTAATCAGTTTGTGTCAGTTGGACACACATTTAGTGTGGACTGTTACCACTGGGTGTCAGTACAGGGCTTTCATTTTAGCTGCTCCTATATGATTGAATAATGTTTCACTGTTTTCAGTTTTGTGTGTGTCCGTGTAAAGAAGACTTTGTACAAAACTTTGGTGTATGTGTGTGTGTGTGTGTGAGAGAGAAGCCATGCCTGCATGTTAATGTATGTGCATATGTGTGTGTGCATTTGAGTCTGTGTGTGGTGTGGGCTCAGAAGACTCTCTCTGTCAGGTTGTGGACTCTCATTAAGATGCTCTGCCAGTGCATAATAAGCCGGCCATATGGTCAACATGGCAGAGGTATCTTCCCCCAACACTAATAACACACATCAGCTTAAGGGCAAGCTGGAGAAAGAGCAGATTACATTAGTTTTACTAGTAGGCCTACTTTCCAATAAACAATGTTCATGAAAGGAGTTGGGCTAACACAAATGTGTGAAGAACAAGGGTTTGGCCTCAGTCATTTCTTAGTAGCAGTGATCCCAGCTTGACAGTCCTGCTTCATGATCTGTGAAATGTTGTTCACATCACAGTAGTAATGTCACCGAGGGCATTGTTACTGCTATTCACAGCTGATGCCTCTCAGATCTACAGAAAGGTCAGGAGCGAGGCACACATCCCTGGCTCGGATTGGACAACACTGAAATGTCTGATGCCAAACTATAATTAGTAGCCATTGGGGTGTCTGTTTGAGAATAACTACCTGCTGTAGATACACATGGAGGGGCTACTGTCTGCAATGTTGTCTCTCACTATTGGCTTTTCAGAGCCTTAAAATTTAAGGGGAGGGCTGGAATAGTGAATGGACATGTTCAAATAAATGTACTACATTATCTTGTAATATGTGGTGGGAACAAATATCCTCTTTGTTACCAACTCTTTCACAATACACTCAAGTAGCTCAATACTCGAAAAATTCCATTTGAACTTCTTACGTTTTCCCTCTCCCTCCTTCATCCCTTTTACACATAATTTCAGTAAGAAGAAGTACGAACATTTTTAGCGGGCTTTTCCCCTTTAATTATGGCATAAAATGACGTAAAAATCTTAAAGTGTCAAAAAGTGACTAAACTCAAAATGACTGAGACTGACGCAATTAACCCATACAATGTCTGGAAGGAATCAGAAGGTCCAGTTTGACACCACCAAAATGCACATCTAGAGCAACACTTACAGATGACTAGTTTTTCTGCAATGATAACGGTATTTAGACAATAGGACTCACGGTTTTCACGGGGAAGAAGGGCCTTGAGAGGCAGTCAGTTCACTATCACAATATCAAACACATACAGTGGAGGAAATAGTATTTTGATCCCTTGCAGTATTTTGTAAGTTTGCCCACTTACAAATAACATTAACAGTCTATATTTTAATGGTAGATTTATTTAACAATAAGAGTATCAATATCAAAAAGAAAATCCAGAAATTGACATTATATAAAAGATACAAATGTATTTGCATTTAACTGTGGGAAATAAGTATTTGATCCCCTTTCAAAACATGTCTTAGACCCCGGCCACACGAGGACGAAAACGGCTAAACGCATAGGATTAACGCAAACGCAATCGCAAACAAGCTTCCGTCCACACGCAATAGTTATCCGGATAGTGTCTGCCCACGAGACCGCTCCGTTTAGCTCCAACCGCTGGAGAAGCTGCAGTACATATGCAGGAGCCTGTACTGGCGCTGTAACTTCCTCCACAAAAGCAGCGAAGAAGCATGGTTGTCATGGTTGCCCTTCTGTTTATTCTCCGCGGTGGGGGCCGAGGGAACCGGGCAGAGTTTTTTGCCAGTCAACGTGAATTAAAGTTTAAACCTTCCGACAAAATTATAAAAGTGCCGGTCAAAGGTCTTCTTTGTTATTTATTGAGCTTTAAAACAAATAAATAACGACTCTATATAATATAATAATATAAATACACGGAGCCTCTCTTTTTCCTCCCTCTCTTCGGACAGCGCCAGTGTCTGTTCATGCAGCAGCTGATCCAGTAATGAGTGACCCGGCCGACAGTAAAAATATATATATTATATAACTAGTTTAGGTAGTTTGAGAGGTGTCTCCGTCCTGTCAGATTAGACTTCACTCGCGTTTAGGTCCATATCGAGAGAAAGATAAATAATCTGAATTCAGTGTGCAGTTTA